CAAGACGGGCCTGGAGCCAGACAAAGAGCCGCCCTCGCTGGTGCGTTTGAGAATGGGCGTATATATGTGGGGCAGTCGTTGTGGGGTCCCAGTGAATCCTCCTTTGCATGCGGGTGTGCACACCCACACACCCACACATACAAAAGCTGGGTTTCTCAATGGGAGGTTCTCTGACTGGACCTGGACCACAGGCAGCCTTCTGTGTGTGTGTGTGTGTGTGTGTGTGTGTGTGTGTGTGTGTGTGATTGTATGTGTATAGGAGGGTCCTGTCCTCAGCTGGCCTCTTCTGGCAGGGCCGGGGCAGTGGCCGGCGCAGGGGCCTGAAGACGACCTTGGATATGACACTTTCCATGACTGGCCGCGAACGGGCTGAGTACACTCGCTGGAAGCAGGAACGGGAGCAGATTGACCGGGATCGCTTAGCCCGGCATCGCCAGCCCACTGGGGAGTGGCGCCGAGAATGGGATGCTGAGAAGACAGATCCCGTGTAGGTGCCCTGATCCCACAGGGTGGCTGCAGACCTTTTGGGGGGCAGGGGACCAGGAGGGGGATCTCTGGAGCAGCTTAGCTGCAGGAGTGGGAGGGTCTCCCTTACCTCTGGCTTCTCATCTCCACAGGCTGAAAGAAGGCAGTGAGCCTCGAGGCTCATCGGTTGACAAGCAGGGTAAGGAGGGGATACAAGCTGTGGGTGCTTCCTCTTTGCCCAAGTGGGGATGGTCCCACAGGGCAGAGAGTGGGCTTTTGACAAGACATCGCCTCCCTTTGGACCCCTGTTGTAGAGCACTCCAAGTATCCTCCCAAACTGCCCACTTTTGGGGAGTTCATGGTTGGGCAACCTGGGGACCGACACCGGAAGATTCAAGGCCGTGGGTGCCCCCGAGGGAGTCTTCCCAAGTCCTACAGGTGAACACGGGCTGGGAGGGTGGGAGCTGCAACAGAGGGTCTCTCTGCTGGTCCTGCCCTGGTGTGAGACTCTTGACTCAGCGTTGGCTTGTCTCTGCAGCATGCACGACAACCGGTGGGAAAAGGAGGAAGCAGACCGGACGCTCTCTGCATCTGCAGGGGAGGATAAGGTAGAGGCTACCTCTGTGCTGCAGGTGGGCCTGGAAGCCAGTGTTTCTTACTGTTCCCCAAACCAATCTGGGAGACCCAGGTGGGCTTCTGGGGAGCTCTCCCTTGGGCCAGAGTTAGAGGCCTCTTCCCAAGGCAACTGTGGTCTACGATTGAGTCAAAAATGATTCTTAGATTTCCCCTGTGATCCTTTTCTCTCCCACCTGGGATCCCCCAGACAGAGCCACAAATAACAGCAGTGACAGAAGAGGATGAGGAAGAGGATGAATGGGAGGATGTCAGTGGGGAGGAGGAGGAGGAGGAGGAGGAAGAAGAACCTGAAGCCAACAGTAGCCAGGATTCTTCCTCAGAAGAAGACGGGCCTCGTCCCTCCTGCTCCCCCCTCCCCCCGAGGAAGCCTAGACAACGGCTCACCCTTCGGCCTGCTTCACCTCAAGAGGCTGCAGCCATGGAGGGGCTGCCCGTGACCCCCTTGGGGCTAGCAGAGGGATACGAGCCTGTGTCTGACTGGGGGGAAGAGATGGAGATGTGCTCTCCCCGGGCCAGCAGCAACAGCCAAAGCCTCTTGGCTGCGCTCAGGGAGGAACTGCCTGCTGGGACTTCTGGTAAAGAACAGAGTGTCCTGGGGGCTCCTGGGGCAACCCGGGAGAGGTGGGGCAAGAGGAGGGTGTATTTTACTATGGGATGCTGCTCAGGCTGTTCTTCTCTTCCTGCAGGAGTGGGTTCCCTGGTACCACCGGCAGCGCAGGGATCTCTCCCCATGGACCCCCCAGCCGGAGGGGCAGCTTCTGTTTCACCCAGAGGCCCCGAGGCAGAGATAAAAATGGATGCAGAAATGCCCGAGCCCAAAGAGGTGGCTGGCCAAGCAAGGTGGAAGAAGGGGGTGAGTAGGGATTTTAGCTTAAGGTTTAAAATATACATGCATTGTTTTATCATTATTTGCGGGGGATTTTTGCTGCTCTTCGCCCCGAAAAGCCACCAGAACAATAAACTTCATAACAGGGCAATTTTTGGTCATCTAAGAAGTTGGAAAGAAGAAAATGAGTAAATGAACCATTTCAGTTCAAAAACTAAAGGTCTCCCCAAAAGTGTTAGGCTGAGTTTGAAGACCCTGCTTAACCAACTTGGCTTGAAACTTAATAGCCCATTTGCAGAATAGGCTCAGCTTGCTTAATTTTAAGTTTTGTGACTTGGCCTGTTGTTCCCATACAGTTGGCTTGGTTAGTTTATGGCGCTGTGTAGTGCACAAGTATCAAAGGCTAGGTAATTTGGTCATCGGCCAGTCACTTGGTCTCGAGAAGCTCAGGATCCGCTTTGACCAGGTCTTTGCCTGTGGCCAGCCACCTTCCAGGGGCTGTTTCGTGCTTGGTGACTTTTTCTCTCCTGCCCACCAGGAGCCTTTGGAGACGGAGGCACCAGAGGCTGCCCCCTGACAGTTCTTTTCCAGAGCTGCTTCGAATGCAGCTGACAGCCTGCCGAGAACTTGAGCCAGACCATCAGAGCTGCTGGGTACAGTTGTGACACACATGCATTCTGCATATTTGTGGCACTCTTGAACATTCTCCAGAATTTGGGTTAAGCCAGCCAGCCACACACCCCCAACTCCCCCATCACCCTTTAGTGCTCTTAACACACAAATCGTGGACAAGTGGGGCCTGCGGCTCTGCTCCCAAACCACCTGTAATCTTTCTTGGATGGGAATAGTAGTGTCCTCCCACCAGCCCAGTCTTTTGTGTAGGAGGAGTGACCTGGGCCCTGGGAGAGAGTGAGGCCCTTCCTGTCACAGGCTTCTCCATTATCATGTACGAAGTAAATAATTTCTTGACAATAAAGCTTGCGTGTGTCTTGTCTTCCTGCCTGTCCCTTGGTCATCTCAGAAGCACAAGTGGGGAAAGAAGAGAGACCTTGTGGACATGCCTGGGGAACGGAGTGGCTGTGGGTGCAGAGGATCATTGCTGGAGTGGAAGCAACAAAAGCTTGAATCATTTCTTGGAAGGAAGTCTGGCCTGTGCTGGAGAAACCAGCTGCCCTCTGCCAAGGCTCTGACACCATGCTGACCAGTGATAGGGAGCCAAGGAGTGGCTTCTGGATAGTCTCAATTGCAATTCTATCCCTGGTTATTTGGCCCTGCAATCGGCATCCAGCAGTACACGGTGGTGCCTAAAGCTTGACTATCTGGGTTCCCCAGAGTCTCTCTTGATCCCATGAATCATGGTTGGAATGGGTGTCCTGGTGTCCTTGGTATATTCATTTGTTAATGGCAGGTAGGGAGACTTCCAGCTTCAAGCCCCAGTTTTGGGGGGGAGGGTCCCAGGACATAGTGCTCCTGCCCCTCTATGTTCATAACATGAAATGCCAGATGAGTTCATCCGCTGACTCTGGGTCAGGTATCACCGGTGTAACACCTGAAAGCGATGTACCCACATGTCACTTTGGCCTACAGCAGCAAACAACCTGGCACCTCTATAATGTGCTGCCCAATCCAATTCTTGGGGTTCCTCAGCCCATTTGGTTTTGGAATGCTTCAGTCTCCCCGCTCGATAAGGTAGTGCAGATAGTACTTCCCATGTAAGGGGATGCCCTTTGGACCGAACTTTTGCTTCAGGCTGTTGGAATGAGCCCATTTCCTGGCCCAGATGAGGTTGGCTGCCACCTTAAAGTTTGATTAGGAAAATGGATGCCTGGGTGGCTTCTAAAAGGTATTCAGGGAATTTCTGACCCCTGTTTGCTTGGACTCTGACATCCGGAGATGGTCTGAGCTCTCAATGAGATCGCCTCTGAGTTCTGGACAGCAGCTTGGTTTCCTGAGGAGCTCAAGATGTGTCAGACCTGCCTCAATCTGATTCCTTAGGAAAGAAAAGCCCTTGACTCTATTTGGTTAAAGCAAAGGGTTCTTTTACTAAAGGGGTTGATTGCATGTAAAGTCAAGCCAGCTCTGAACTTTGGAAAGATAAAAAAAGGATAGCCCTCAGCCCATCCCTCCCCCCATGACCAGTCCATTTCCAGTCAACCGGAGCTTTCCAAAATGTTTTGAGAATGCTGAGTTGTTTGAGGATTGTCCTCATATTTCTGAGGGTGCCTGGCATTAGGATGCTAGTGCAAACTGGATGCAGTTGTTTTGGTCTTTATCACCTGTCATTTCCCCTCTCCCGATTTCCCATCATGTACACACACAGCTTTATTGCCCTTCCGTCCTTTGATGATGGGGTGCCTGTCAGGTGCCAAGCTGAACCAGGCAGAGCTGATGAGATGTATGTCTGATGTGATCCAAAGGATCAGGATCATATGTTAAGTTGCAATTCAGATTTATATTGCTGAAGCCTAGCCACAAGAATCTAGTTCTAAATTGGCACCAGAAAAGGGTGAGCGGAATTCAAGAAGGCTTGTACTTGGATCATTTATGGAATTGTAATAACACTAAGCTGATTATGTGCCCCCACCCACCCCTATTTGTTTTCCTACGTGCGACCACTAAACAGTGTGGGAGAACCTGGCACAGGTGGGAATAAGCACATTCCCATTAATTACTTCTATAGCTAAAATAAGAAAGCTGGATTAAAACAATAAACTGGACATGAACATAAGTAGCCTTGAAGTGTGGAGGTTGTTGATCGCCTGAATAATGATCCAACTTGCTCATGAGTGCAAATCAAACCACCAGACAGTTTCTTAAAAATGGCAACTCAGATCAAAGCCCACCAAAACACACAATTAAGATCAACAGAAAGGATGGAACAACTAAGTGTCTATGGAGGTTTTCTTATCATCCAGGTCACAGCTCCCCCAAAGCTGCTTTTCAACAGAGAATTGGACTTTAGCAATTTGGACCAAAAGTGAGATGGTGGTTACTAGAAATGCTTGGAACAATGTAAGGTTGCTGGCGTCTGGCGAAAGACTACAGTTGCAGTTGTTTTAAAACCAGGTAAAGAGGCCAATCCCCAAGAACTACTGCCCAATTTCTCCCTTTTGTCAGACCTACAAAATATCCTCACTGTAGCTGTAGAACCCCTTCTCATACGAAAGCAGGTTGGATTTTGCCCTGAAAAAAGTTGCCCTGCATAGATCCTTAATTTAACCCTGTATATTGAAGGTGGATTCCAAAAGGGCAATGCAGTCACAGATCTCATGGCTGCATATGATACCATTGATCTTGGAACTCTGAAGCAAGAAGTTTATGATATGACTAAAGATTTTAAACTTACAAATATCGTTAGGAATCTGCTTCAGAACCACATTTTTGTGGAGTTCCGAGGAAGGTGAGGTAAATGGAGGAATCAAAGGAACAGCTTATCACAGAGTTGTGTATTGGCTCCCACTCTAATATTTACACCAATGATTGGTTGCTTTCTGTAGGTAATAACAGCAATATGTATGCTTGAGCAATGACTCAATGAGGATAAACATCTGAGAAGGTTCAACCATGTTTTAACTGAGGCCCTTTTAGAGCTAGAGCGATACTAGTTTGCTAACCACTTAAGACCAAACACAGTAAAAACTCAGGTATGTGCCTTCTGTCTGCACAATAAGCAGGCTGCTAGGATGCCTGTTGTATGGAATGGGGTGTTATTGGAGCATTGCTACAGCCCTAAACATTTAGGGATCATTCTAGATAGGACCCTAACATATAGGCAGATTGTGCTAACACTAAACTGAAGGTCAGTGGGTGAAATAACATCCTCGGAAAATTAACAAGCTCCATCTGGGTTGCCAAACTAGGGGTCCTTAAGACAACAGCTCTAGCTCTTTGCTACTCGGCAGGCAAATAGCCCTGCCTGGTCTAATATAAATCAGCACCTGTGAAAGTAGATGTTGCTCTGAATGAAGCTAGCAGAATTATTACCAGATGCCTTAAACCTGCCCTTCTAGATAAGACCTACCATCTAGCCAGGATTGCCCTGCCTGCTGTTTGCAGAGAAGCCGCAGCAAACAGAAAGAGACTCAGTCTTGAGACAGAGAACATCAATCTTGAGACAGACAACCCCCTCTCTATGGCCTGCAACCAGTTCAGCTGAGACTAAGATCTAGGAAAAGCTTCCTTAGGTCAGTGAAAGACTTCAAAGAATTTAAAAGCAGTGAGGATGGATGGAAAGGTACAAGGAGCCAACACTTGATAGAAGCAACGTAGAAGCTGACATCTGGGTCTGGTAAAAGTGGAAAAGATGGAACTTGTTCATTAACAGACTGTGCACAGGTACAAGAAGAGCCAGAGGCACTCTGAACAAAGGGGGGGTATCTGGTGGCTTCTGCCTTTGTGGATTGTGGTAACATGCAGACAACAACACATATGTACTGTGTACCTGTCCTTTGTACCCTCAGTGCACACTTGAGGACCTCATGGCAGTGCGACAATACAATGTTGCTAGTTTCAGGGCAGGATCTGTTTAACTTGTACATACTTTAATCTTTTATTTTGTATTTTAAATTTTATGTCGCATATTGTGCATTATCTTCATTGTGATGCTTCTGACATGAATAAGCAAACAGGCCTGCCTGAAGCAAATCTAAGCAGAGATGGATTGGTTCGAGCCAGACACTTCTCCCTCTGCAGAAAGCCATAACTTGATGCAAGAAACATCGCAGGATGCTTTGGGCAGAGTGCTGGGAGAGAATGAGTATAGTAATGATTCAGAGATGTGTTCCAGCAGGGTGAGATGCTATACATATAGTGGTGTAAGTGGCCTCATGTCAGGAGTCCATACTGGCTTTTCCCCTTAAATTATACCTGATCTGCAGGTAGTCTGCTGCAGCATTTCTGTTCGCATGGCCTGATATCCATAAGGGACGAGCAAATGTACTGGAAGGTAGCTGGGCTTGCAGGAGTTCTCTCTGTTTCCTAGTAATGCTCTGCACTATTTGTGGAGTGACACCCTTCCACCCTGCCTCCTTGTACCTGTAACATTAGTAGAAAAATAGCTGAGTGAACACTTTGCCCCAATGATAGTCTATGCATTCTGAAGAGACAGGATTACTTTCATGTGCAACGTTGCATGCTGACATCCCCAGAACATTGCTGGCATTCGTTTGTCCAAGAAACTCATTCCCCATTGTAATACCCTGTGATCTTCTGAAAGGGAGGGTGGCAGACAAAGAACTCAGTAGGATGGTAGCTACAAGAAAATGTCCCACTGGGTCAAGGGTGGTGGTGTTTCAAATTAATTAATAGAGGATCCTCTCTTCTTAGGAACTCAGCCTGGCCATATGAAACTTAGTTCCTGACCACCCTTTGGCAAGGTTGCTTACAAATCCCCCAAGTCCCCAGGCTCCTAAAAATGCAATAGGGCTGGTCTTCTGTGCATCCTAGGAACCTGCATGCTATGCCTTGTGTTGGAATAAGAGGGAAAACCCCACTGACCCTAGAGTGCCCTTCTCTGATTCGGAGCAGCTGGTGTGAAGCTAGAGGCTAGGTGTAAGGTGATGGCCTCAGCAATAGACGGGTGGGTGTTTTCATTCTGCAGCCTGCAGGACACGTGCATAAGCCTGAGCGTCATCAGGGGACAAGGAAGGCATGTGTCTCTCCTGCTTTCCCAGAGCCCTGAAGGTGTCCAGTTATTTAAGGGCCAAGTAGCATTTTTGACCTAACGGAGATCTGTAGGGCCAACATTTGGGAGATGAAGGTACCCAATAAATACCACAAGGATATCCTATTAATATTTGATTGAATTTGGTGCATCTGGTTAGGGAACACTTTTTAACAATAAAGTCTAACTTCCTCTTTTAGAGTGTCCAAGCCCCTCCTTGCAAAATTGCCATCTTGTCATCTCAAGCAGAGGCTTCACAGCAACAACTTGTTTTCCACCGTAAGTGCAGTTTCTGTCTTTTTTCCCCCACCTGGGACTATGTAGAGGTTTCTTTCAGGCCTTTTCACATTGGATTAATTTCCCTGTTAAACTGTGCATCATTTAAGGATATGTATTTGCTTTGTTTGGTAATCCACACATACTTTTGCATCTCAAGGGATCTTTCCAGTCCTTTGGATACAAATGATTATCAAGAGCCAAGTGGGATTTGTCTGCAGGACTTTTCTTTCCTTGTGCTTGAGGGAAATCCCAGGAGGGGGCTCCCTGCTCCCAAAGCCAAGGAGAAGGAGCCACTGCAGAGTGCCCACTCCATTCCTGGCCAGTAAGGCTTATTTCTGGGCCATCCTGAGCAAAACAGGTCTGGCAGTGGGGAGAACTGCCCCTACTGACCCCAGTAATCTCATCTAGTCTAATGGCAGATTTGGCTATAAATCAGAGAAATTGAGAAGATTTAATGAGTAATGTTTAGTTTTTTAAACCAGGTCAAAAATCTTCTCTTAAAACTATGGCAGGAGCTATCCCAGACATCTTTAGGTGACCCACTCTTCACTCCTCTGTCTGGGATCTTTGTGGGCTTCAAATGTATATAGCCAAGATACCACTGAAAAACAGCGTCCATTGGCTTTAACATTGGCTGTCAGATTAGGCAATGTATGCGGGAAAAACATCAGCAGATTCATATTTTTAGATTTGCTCAATCTTTCTCGTTGTTCCCTCCCATCCATGACCACAGAACTTTTGACGGAAACTAGATCCTACATACCAAAGTAAGCTGTCTGAAGCCATTTGCAGTTGAACGTCTTCTAAATTTAAAGTCGGGTATCCTTTTTCTTAGGATTCCACTGAACATGAAAAATAAGCGATGAGAAAGCACCAGACAAAATAGTCAAGGGATTCACAGCACAAAGTTAGCTTGAAGTGGAGGTGACAGACTGACTCAGATGGAGAACTGCTGTCAGCCAAGACTGTCAGTTCACTGGGCCCTGGTAAAGATGGTAGAAGGAGCAATTTGCCAAAGTTTATTTATTAATATTTAAAAGCTCTCCAATAGCCGAAACTCTCTGGGCTATTTACAATAAAATGCATCAACATGTACAACTGAAATAAATACAGTATATATAGAATAAAATCAAATAAAATGTAGAATGAAAACCACATACAAATTTGGCAGCAGCATTGTGGTCATTCAAAACCTAAAAAGATGCAAATTAAAAGGCAATTAAAAACCAAGGAAGGAAGAGGGCAACTGTGCTATATTTTGCCTGAAATTCTTATATAGTTCTGAATTTATTCTGCCATACAGATCTTGTGAACCACAGTTTGTGAAGGATGGAATATTATTCTGGAACATGTAGTGGCAGCTTTTTTAAAAAAATAGTTGGGCTTGCTAGCACGCTTGATGAAGCCAAGATGTGGTGGGAGGGCAGCTGTCTTTGAGGACCAGGATGTTCTACGGAGCCACAATTCAGTGTATTTGCTTGCATGCTGCATCTTTTAGGAACCCCGCAATTCTACTTTGCCGATCTAGATTTAACATGTTATGTGAACCCTGGGTTTGAAGGATTAAAATATTTACTTTCGTATCCAGCCATTATTTCTAAATATCAGATATGCAGACACAGCCTCTTGCTGTGTCACTGACTTCTTCTCAAACTAGTCCATGCTTTGTAAACCATACATTTTTACTTTAATTATACCTTATCTCAGCTGATCTTGAGGTTTTGTTTTCTCAGATGTTTTGAGTATGTGTTTCTCCATCAGCTTTATTTCTAATCTTCCCAGTTGTTCTGGGTTTTACCAACTTTTTATAATCATTTTAGAACTTCTTAGAATAGTTTACCAACAAGTGAGAACTCACCAGAATAGAGAGGTCCAAACTGAGTTTTAAAAAAACAACTGCCTTTTCCTGAAACAGGTGAAGTTGGTCTCCACCTTTTGGGGGGACAACACCCATCTCCTCTCTTTCTTGTTCCTTTACAGAACTCCCCACCACTTGGAGATGGATTACCCTATGGAAGGTCTTCCAAACATTTCTGACTATGATTATTCAAACTTCACCGAGGTACCTCCCAGTGTAGAGGGAAGCTTGAGTCTCATCATCCTGCTGGCCCTTGTCCTCTATGCCCTGGTGTTTCTAGTGGGCACACTGGGCAATGGGGCTGTCATCTGGGTGGTGGGGTTCCAGATGCAGCGCACAGTGAGCTCAGTCTGGTTCCTTAACCTCTCGGTAGCAGATCTTCTCTGCTGCCTGTCTCTGCCTGTTCTGGCTGTGTCCCTCGGCTCCGATAATCATTGGATGCTGGGAGATTTTGCCTGCAAACTCTTGCCCTCTATTGTCATCCTCAACATGTTTGCCAGCATCCTGCTGCTGGCCCTGATCAGCATGGATCGATGTGCCCTTGTGGTGAAGCCTGTCTGGTGCCAGAATCACCGTTCAACCCGCTTAGCCTGGAAACTGTGTGGTGCAGCCTGGGCTTTTGCCACCTTCCTCACTCTGCCCTCCTTTGTAACCAGAAGAACACAATACCACGAGTTTCATCACCTGACGCTCTGTGTGGTCGACTATGGCCTCTTTGGTATAAATCACCAAATTGCTGAGGTCTCTGTGGCCACCATACGCTTCCTCACTGGCTTCCTGGTCCCTTTGGTAGCCCTCAGCCTCTTCTACGGGCTGCTGGTTCTGCGTGTGCGCAGTAGTCACTTCACACGCTCCAATAAGACTCTGAAAATGGTTGTGGTGGTTGTGGTGGTCTTTTTTGTCTGCTGGGCTCCTTATCACATGATTGGCCTGATTCTGGCCAGTAAGAGTCATACCAGTCCCCTCTTCCATTCCCTGAACCAGCTGGACCCTCTGACTGTGGCTCTCGCCTACACCAACAGCTGCATCAACCCCATCATCTATGTCATTGCAGGCCAAGACTTCAAGGCTAAAATCCTGCGCTCGCTGAGTGCTGTGTTGCGCAATGTCCTGAATGAGGAACTGTCAACAGCCCCCTCCCAGAGAGCCACAGAGGATCAGAGCATAAACACAACCTTGTAAGCCCTTCCCAAGCAAGCCCTTTGTGTTTCTAGCTATACGCCTGCTCCCCTCCGGCTGGAAACGTGTTTACAGCAGCTCTCTCTGGCCATTCTGTACTAGTTTTGCTATGATGCAGTAATTGTAGCTGACTCTCGGATCACTGCTTCCCCCTTATTCTGTGATAAAAAGAAATAGGTGGACAGAAATGTACCTAAACTTTCATGAATTGTTTCAGTATGTCTGTGTATGTGTGTACAAATATAAAAGGAAATATTACTGATATACTAATCTTTCACTTATTGCAAATTATATGGCCCTTCATTTCTGAGCAGGCTACAACTGCTGATCTCAGAAGACACAAACTAAAAACCAATCCATCTGCTGCACCGCCATTAGGCTACTACTTTTCTGTAATTTGATTCCTTTCATGGACTAAACCAGAACTTATAGAGCAAGTTTGGCCTGATGGTTCAGGCACAGGGCTAGAAAGCGGGAGACCTTGAGTTCAAGTCTTGCCTTAGGCATGAAAGCCATCTTGGGTGACTTTGGGCCACTCCCTCTCACTCAGCCCAATCCACCTCACGGGGTTATAGAGATAATAGGAGGTAGTGTTGGATATGTTCGCTTTCCTGAGTTATTTTTAAAAATGATATATGAGCGGTATAAAATACACTGCTCAAAAAAATAAAGGGAACACAAAAATAAGACATCCTAGATCTGAATGAATAAACTATTCTTATTAAATACTTTGTTCGTTACATAGTTGAATGAGCCGACAACAAAATCACACAAAAATTATCAATGGAAATCAAATTTAGCAACCCATGGGGGTCTGGATTTGGAGTTACACTCAAAATTAAAAGTGGAAAAGAACAGTACAGGCTGATCCAACTTTGATGTAATGTCCTTAAAACAAGTCAAAATGAGGCTCAGTAGTGTGTGTAGCCTCCATGTGCCTGTATGACCTCCCTACATGCTCCTGATGAGGTGGCGGATGGTCTCCTGAGGGATCTCCTCCCATACCTGGACTAAAGCATCCCCCAACTCCTGGACAGTCTGTGGTGCAACGTGGCATTGGTGGATGGAGCGAGACATGATGTCCCAGATGTGCTCAATTGGATTCTGGGGAACGGGCGGGCCAGTCCATAGCATCAATGCCTTCATCTTGCAGGAACTGCTGACACACTCCAGCCACATACCTCTGGTGAGCACATGGAGGGCTGTGCGGCCCCCTAAAGAAATGCCACCCCACACCATTACTGTCCCACTGCCAAACCGGTCATGCTGGAGGATGTTGCAGGCAGCAGAATGTTCTCCATGGGGTCTCCAGACTCTGTCACGTCTATCACATGTGCTCAGTGTGAACCTGCTTTCATCTGTGAAGAGCACAGGGTGCCAGTGGCAAATTTGCCAATCTTGGTGTTCTCTGGCAAATGCCAAACGTCCTGCACGGTGTTGGGCTGTAAGCACAACCCCCACCTGTGGACGTCGGGCCCTCATACCACCCTCATGGAGTCTGTTTCTGACCATTTGAGCAGCCACATGCACATTTGTGGCCCGCTGGAGGTCATTTTGCAGGGCTCTGGCAGTGTTCCTCCTGTCCCTCCTTGCACAAAGGCGGAGGTATCGGTCCTGATGCTGGGTTGTTGCCCTCCTACGGCCTCCTACACGTCTCCTGATGTACTGGCCTGTCTCCTGGTAGTGCCTCCATGCTCGGGACACTATGCTGACAGACACAGCAAACCACCTTGCCACAGCTCACACTGATGTGCCATCCTGGATGAGGTGTACTACCTGAGCCACTTGTGTGGGTTGTAGACTCCGTCTCATGCTACCACTAGAGTGAAAGCACCACCAGCATTCAAAAGTGACCAAACCATCTGCCAGAAAGCATAGGAACTGAGAAGTGGTCTGTGGCCACCACCTGCAGAACCACTCCTTTATTGGGGATGTCTTGCTAACTGCCTCTGCTTTCCACCTGCTGTCTAGTCCATTTGCACAACAGCACGTGACATTGATTGTCAATCAGTGTTGCTACCTAAGTGGACAGTTTGATTTCACAGAAGTGTGATTGACTTGGAATTACATTGTGTTAAGTGTTCCCTTTATTTTTTTGAGCAGTGTACAATAAAGTCCAAAAAACAAAAATTAAGACAATGTAGATCACACGCTCCAACTCATGTCACTGATTAAATTTTAAAAAATCTGTTCATTCAACCAATCGCCACACAGTCATTGCAACTCAGGTGCTCATGCCGCACAAACTTCTCCGACCTAAATGATCAAAACCTACCTGTTCGGCCCCAGCTCTCTGCTCACCGGGCCAAGCTTGGGGGAGGCTATCTCCCTTTCTCCGCCCACCTCCCCACCCCTCGCAGGCTCCTAGGCTTTCCGCCGCAGCCTCGCCTCGCCCCGCCCGCCCTCCCGCGCCTGCAGCGCCACCGGCTAGCCGAGGGAACGGCCGGGATGGCGGCAGAGGGCTGGGACTGCCCCGCCACCCGCGCCCTCCTGGAGGCCGCCTACTTCCCGCCGGGCTGCAGCGGCCAGGAGCTGGAGGACTTCTGGGCTTTCTTCCGGCGCCTGCGGGGCGTCTGCGAGCGGCAGGGCTCCAGCGCGGGAGGCCGGCCGGCCTATGACCCCGGGTGCCGCCTGAACCTGCGGCTGCCCCGGCGAGTGGCGGCCGGCGTGTCCCCGGCGCTAGCGCGCCGGTTCGGCCTAGCGCTGCTCCGCTTCCTGGATTTCGCGCAGCGGCGGAGCTTGGCCCGGCTGGCGCGGCTGCAGCGGGAGCGCGCCGCCCTGCCCATCGCCCGCTCGCGGCAGTCGCTGCTGGCCGCCCTGGCACGCAGCCCGGTGGTGCTGGTGGCCGGGGACACGGGCTGTGGCAAGTCCACGCAGGTGCCCCAGTTCCTGCTGGCCGCCGGCTACTCCCACGTGGCCTGCACCCAGCCGCGGCGCTTGGCCTGCGTGGCGTTGGCCCAGCGCGTGGCCCGCGAGAGCCTGGGGCGCTTCGGGGACCAGGTGACCACAGGCGCGCGGGGGGCCGGGGGCAGCCGGGGCGAGGGGAGGGGAGCCTTCCGGTGCCGGGAGCGACCGATCTCCTTCGTCCTCTCTCTGCTAAGGTCGGCTACCAGATCCGCTTCGAGAGCGCCCGCTCGCCGGCCACGCGCATCGTCTTCCTGACCGAAGGGCTGCTCCTGCGCCAGGCCCAGCGGGAGCCCACGCTGCCCGCCTACCGGGTGCTGATTGTGGATGAGGTCCACGAGCGGCACCTGCACTGCGATTTCCTGCTGGGCGTCCTGCGCCAGCTCTTGGGTGCCCGGCCTGACCTCAAGTTGGTGCTCATGTCTGCCACCATCAACATCCAGCTTTTTGCCGACTATTTTGGGGGCGCACCTGTGATCCAGGTTCCTGGACGCCTCTTCCCCATCACGGTGAGGGTGCGGGAAGAATACTTTGGGGGGAGGGGTTTCCTTCCAAATTGGGTAGAATGAGGAGGTATTTCTGTTTTAGAGACCCTTTAAAAAGGTGGGTGTTGACTAGCAAACATCCAGCTCTGGGCTGCTTGAGCTCTCTAGTGGCTTTCCACACAGATAACCTGCATCCTTCTGGGCCTGCTCCAAGCTGATTGTGTTGAAGAAAGTGCTCCTAGGCCCATTTTGCGGCCTGCTCAGCCCACCAGTCAACCTCTACTACACAAAACCACTGGGTTGGGGTTTGGTATCATCAGTTCAGCTGCTGAAGTCCCGCCCCTGTGCCTGGAGGCTGTGCTGGTTTGGCTGGGGAGGAGGACCTGCCTCCAAACCTACCAGGACTGAGTGCATTTGGGTCACCCTGATCTAGGATGTTTTATGGATCATGTAGGGTGGCGTGTCCCCATTTCAAGTGGGTGTATAATCTGGGGATGTTCCCAGATTCACAGTTCCTGCTCACAATTGTGCCAATTGTGCTCTTTCTCAGATTAGAAGGCTCGGCAGTCAGTCACACAGGTGCTAGTCGCCCTGTGGCTTGGCTACTGCTATGCACTGTACCTGGGGTTGGCCTTGAAGACCCCCCAGAAACTGGTCCAGAGCAGGCCTGCCTTTTGGACCCAGGTTCTCCTGAGAAATTGAAGCTGGTGTTTTGGAGGGCCTTTGGCAAGGATGGCTGAAGCCTCTTCTGGGAAGTGTGGGTTTGTTGGTTGTTTTTCAGATTTGCCATCTTTTGTGGTATGCGGATTTCATACATCAATAAATAATAGTAATTTGCCAAGCCCTTGTACTCACCCTCCTCTGTGAGTTCTCCATCAGAAGCTGCCCCTGTCCTTGCAACTGCCGTTCTTGTAATACAGAAGGCTTAAAATTGTAGGCCAACATGACCTCTTGTTCCATACAGGTCATCTACGAACCCATCCGCCCTGAGGAAAGCAGTCGTGGGCGCAGGGAGCGACTGGGCGTCCAGCCCTTCCTGCGGGTGCTCCAGGCCATTGACCACAAGTACCCGCCGGAAGAGAGGGGAGACCTGCTCATCTTCCTCAGCGGGGTGGCTGAGATTGGGGCAGTGATGGAGGCCGCGCAGTCTTACGCGGCCTTCACCAAGCGCTGGGTGGTCCTTCCTCTTCACAGCACCCTCTCTGTGGCCGAGCAGGACAAGGTGAGTCGAGTAGGGCTGGAGAGGCAAACTGCCTCCTCCCACTTTCAACGGTGGGAAAGCCTTGTTGTTATGGAGAGCAGTGGCCAATTAAATCCAGGGTGGTGATGTCACCAGATGGGGGGGTGGCTGGAATTTTGGGGCTCTTTTGGCTTGTTGCTGTCTAGATATCCTTGTATTTTTTTTCATGGAAAGATGATTAAAAAGAAAAAAAAGAAAAGAAAGATCTTAGCAATGGCACTTAGACTGACGTGTCACCCTGCAGCACTTCATGGCACTGTCTAAGCCAGGGGTGTCAAACTCACCGCCACGCCCATGCCCGGTTTAGCAAAGGGGGGAAAGGTCACAATAGGTCACATGACCTGAGTTTGACACTCCTGGTCTAAGCGGTTTGCAAATGTAGAGTCGAGAGTTTTGGGGGATGGCAGCGAATGGCAGCTTTCCAGGTTTCAGTTGCAGTTTTTGTTGCTTTTCCCTCGCCAGAGAGATGAGACTTACTGTTTAAAAACAAACCAGCCCAGAATCTCTTAATGGCTGCTGTCCTTGCTCTTCAGGTCTTTGACCTTGCTCCACCAGGAGTCCGGAAGTGCATCATTTCCACCAACATTGCGGAGACTTCCGTGACCATCGATGGGGTCCGGTTTGTTGTGGATGCAGGTGAGAGTTCTCCCCCCCCCCCCCGGTGTTTGTCCAATGGAGGAGAGCCGCTGTTTTCACCCAGGAAGCAAGGCATGGTGTGGGAAAGGGGCTTTCCGTGGAGATGGCCTTGAAGGGAATATTCCATTCCACAAGCAACAGAGGCAGAAGGGAAAGAAGAGGCTGAGGGAGGGGAGGAGGACAGCCCCAAGCAGCCTCCTGTCGGAGGGCCCTCCTGGGGTCCTGGGGCGTCTTGATCTGATTTGGTGTTATTCACATGTGCTGTTTCCCAGGACTCAGACCATGATTCTGCCCTCGTTGATTTTGTAGAGCTTCTGGGTGTTCCTTTCCAGGCCACCTCCATAACTCTACACTGTGGGGACGGACATGGAGGGCCCAGAATGGAGTCGGGATTAATCCGCCTGGGCTGTTTTTTGCAGTTCCGTCTTTCCTTGGAATGACACAAACCGTTCCAAGATAAAATGATGATGAAGACGATCTATTGACTGCTCTTTCCAAGACTCATTAGAAATTAGGAAAACTCCCTAATTACCACCTTGCCAACCATGTCTGGGGGGGGAGGGGGTGAAATGTTGGGAAATCTGTTGCCTAGACTGGGGCCACTAGACTTTGAAGGCCAACACTGTAACAGATACGGACTGTGAAAACCTCCATCACTAATAGAGTAGTAAGTTTGTTACGACCAGGGGACACTGGATGCTGAAGCTAAAATTAACCCAACCACAGGACTTCCCCCCCCTCCATATTTAAAACAACACTATGATACGACCAAGCTTGCCAGTGAAATAAAAACAATAAGAATTGTTAGGATTAAGGAATGGATGAGCAGATCCTGCTCATGAACTATAGTCTGTACTCAAAAGGTCTTGAAGTCCTAATCTTCAAGTTGTTGCACAGGTCTTTCCAGAGTAGGACATAGCTGGTGCAGGAAATCCTGAAAGCAGGACAGATAAATACTAGGGGATGTGAGGCCAGAAGGAGCACTTGGGTTTACCCTGAATTCAGTCCACTGAAGAGCCCTGTGGTATAATGAGACCCGAAAAGGTCCAGAACAGCCTGAATGACCCTTGCCAAGGAACAGCTGCCTAACCCTGTGAGAGTTGACCCATCAGGGTACCTGTGAAGCCATCCCCCAAGTTCTATGAATGTCCCTCAAGTGAAAATTAGCAACTCCCACTGTAAAACTATCGGTAGTAAATGGATACCAAGTCAATTGACTGTAGATCAAGATTGCAAAGGTTAGAGGAAACTGCAGTGACCCTGGGCTTTGGAGGCAGGAGAAGGGGAGCAGGAGAGGAGGGGAAGGGCAATAATCTTTGGGAGGACCTGCCAGATGGAAATGGTGCCAAAGCATTCTGCCATGATTGATTCAGGTCATCAACAAAGGACGGATAAGCTTGAGTATCCCCAGGGCAAAAAATAATAACATTGACAGTTCTGGTTGGTTCGCTGGAGGGAACAATGTAAAGACTAAAAGATAACATGGACAACTAGGAACAGAGTCTAGACTCAGCACTCAGCGATCAAAGACATCAATTGCTGATGATGGGCCCAAAAGGGCCTGATCCGAGGGTAGGCCCATGAGAGACTCTCTCAGCTGAATGGCCTGCCTGGTGATGACTGTTAGATGCCAAAAGAAGACGATGCTGGGTTTTCCCTCCTTTAATTGATCTTTCGGCTTTGTTGCTGATACGTTGTCCCAACCCCATCCTTGGAATGCCTGCACTGATGTCTCTTTTCTTTCCAGTTTTTTGGGCCTCTTCCTCATGGTTGCTGTCCCCACCACTCCCCTTCTTTTCAGGAAAGGTGAAAGAGCTGAGCTATGACTCCAAGGCCAAGTTACATCGCCTCCAGGAGTTCTGGATCAGCCGAGCCAGTGCCGAGCAACGCAAGGGCCGGGCAGGCCGCACTGGGCCCGGGGTCTGCTACCGCCTCTACGCTGAATCAGACTATGACAATTTTGCCCCCTACCCAGTGCCAGAGATCCAGCGGGTGGCCCTGGATGCCCTGATTTTACAGGTAGGCTTTCTCCAGACAGCTGTGATTCAAGGCTGCCTGTCAGGGGAGTCACAAGGAAGACAGCTACTCCCTCCAGATGCCTCAAACTGCCCAGTAACTGCTCGGAGGGAAGGGCTGCAGGCTGTGGGCCTTTGTGAATGCTCTGGGAGGTCTTGGCCTTCAGATGCAGAGCGCTGGGTGACACCCGGCTGTTGGGGAAGCGCTTCCTTAGTGGCAGTCTGCTGAGGAGAAGAAGCACCACCACCACCATTTCCCCCCTGTTCAGGGGGGGAGCCTGCTTTGTGAGAAGCCTCACATTTCACTCCTAGCATGGAGATGCGGTGGAGTAGGTGTGTGGATAGACAGCAGATGGCAAGTAAAGCTGTTTCCTGCCTGGGCTCTGGAGCTCCAGTTGGCCCAGTTCTGGGCCAAAGAAATGCCTTCCAAGGCCCTGCCTGGCCCCTATGGATTTGCTAGCCTCCCCCTGGTCTTGAGAAATGACTCTTCCTGTCCTTCTGCAGACGGGAAGGTCAGGCAGGAGAGTAGCAGTTGGACCCGACCAGAGCAGGAGAGCCTGACTTGCTTGTTAAAATGAAGCCACCCGCCTTCTGCCCTCTGTTTCTAGATGAAGAGCATGGGGCTAGGCGATCCCCGAGCGTTCCCTTTCCTGGAGCCACCTCCTTGGGCCAGCCTGGAGGCAGCCCTGGGCTATCTAAAGCATCAGGGTGCCCTGGATTCAGCAGAGGCCCTAACACCCATTGGGACTCTCTTGGCTCAGCTTCCAGTTGATGTGGTGATTGGTGAGTGATGGGTGCAGCTGAGGGTCAAGGCTTCTCCTTCTTCCGGCCACTTGGTTGAAGTGTGCAACTTGCTGGGTTGCTTCCAGACTCCTTGTCATCCCGGTGTGTCTTCCTGGAACTGAGAATTCTGTGCAGGGCTCAGCTTCAGGTCCATGGGGTGGGCATTGTGCTGAACTTTGCTGGAAAGTGTGTGTGTGGGGGGGTGGCTTTTGTGGCAGGGAGGAGTGTCTTCCTGGGTGGGCACTGCCTATTACCTCATGCAGTCTCTCCCTCTGCAGGGAAGATGCTGGTGTTGGGGACGCTCCTGGACCTGGCTGCCCCGACACTCACCATTGCCGCTGTCCTCAGCGTGCCCTCTCCCTTCCTGCACAGGGGCGGGGGGCGCAGCAACCTGAACTGCCTGGCAGCCCGGCGAAGCCTGGGGAGCCCACTGGGAGACCCCCTGACCCTTCTGAATATCTTCAACGCCTGGGTCCAGGTAGGCAGGGCATAGGAAGTGCCACAGATGCAGTGTGAAGAGCTAGGCTTCCTAGTCCTTCCCTTCCTGGGCGACCTCTCCCTGCAGGGTCCTTTTCCAGCCCAGGGCCCTTGTGCCAGAATATTTCTCTGGGTTCCCTGGACCTTCTCTTGGCATTTGCCCTTTGCTCTTTCGGCTCCCTTGGCAACGGACACCCATTTGAGGTGGCATCTTTCCAGCAAAGCTCCATTCCTGCTCCAGGCAAGGGGATGGGAAGGTCTTGTTCGCACGTGTGCTCCTTACATGGGGGACGGAGCTCGGCCTTGCTCTCCCGCTGAGCCACGTGAACTGGGCTTCCCTTGTGTCTGGCTGGCAGGAGAAAGCGGCCAATCGCCGAGGATCCCAGCGGTGGTGCCGACATCGGGGCCTGGAGGAGCATCGGCTCTACGAGGCAGCCAATCTGCGGCGCCAGTTTCAGGTTGGTGTCCGTTGAGAATGGCTGGGACTGAGGACAGATGAAGCTGGGCGCCTAGTGGTGGTGGTGGTGGTGGTGATGTGGAGGAGTAGTTCTGTTCTTTGTCTCCACTTGCAAGGGCATCCTTTGTGGAGAGAAGAGAAGGTGGGCTCGAAGGGGCTTCCATAGCCTTGAGCAAGGGTGGGCTATCCTTTCCTTCCGGTTCCTCTGCCAGGAATTGCTGCGGGACCACCGACTGCTGCGCCCTCCTGCTCAGCCTTACAGCTCCTACGCTCGACAGAGGAGGAGGCGGGAACATCGAGAGCTGCACAGACTCAAGCGGGAGCATGAGCAGCGGGGTGGGCGCCGGCGGAAGCTGTTGCGGCTGCAGGAGGAGGAACAGCAGCAGCAGGAAGCAGGAGGAGGGTCCGGTTTTTCATCTGGGGAAGAGGAGGAGGGTAGTTCCTGCCTAGACATCCAGGTGGGGCAAATAAGAGGAAGGGCCAGTTGACTTGCAATCTCCCTTTTGTATCTCTCTCTCTCTCTCTGTATATATGTGTATGCACACACATACATGCAATTTTTATTACAGTTTTTTAAAAAGGAAGATAAGTAATACAAGCTAATATAAAGAAGAAAAGAAGGAAAAGAAAGAATTCAAAGAGAAAGCCAAAAATCTAGAAACGGAAAAAAAGTTACAGCTTCTGATTTTCATAGCGGTTATATGTACAATTATAAACTTACCGCTTACTCTGTGATTACAGGGGCGGCAGGATGGTTCAGGGGTTGAGATGATGGGCTTGTCGGTTGGAAAGCCGGCAGCCCAAGTTCAAGATCTGAGGGCCACACGAAGGGGTGAGCTCTGTCCTCACCTCAGCTCCTGCCAACCTAGCAGTGTGAAAGCATGCAAATGCAGGTAGATAAATAGGTACCACTTTGGTGGGAAGGTAACAGCACTCCATCATGCTGGCCATCTGACCAAGGAAATGTCTTCACTGGCTCAATGGCATTGAAACTGAACGGAGCAGCACCCTCTAGAGGCAGCAATGACTAGTGGGCTTAATGGCCACAATTGGGACTAGATTTTCCATTGCTAAGCAACGTGGTTGTTAACTGAGCCATGCCTGATTTTACAACCTTTCTTGCCACAGTTGTTAAGCAAATCATCGTGGTTGTTAAGTGAATCTAGCTTCCCCATTGACTTGGCTTCTCAGAAACTGACTGGGAAGGTCACAAATAATGATCACCATAGTGTGGCTCCATGCCTGTTGCCACGGCCCAAATTGAGGATTACTTTTCATGCCGAATCTTTTCATCTGTACACACAATAATCTCGCTGCACATATGAAAAAAAAAGTTCCAAGACTATGGAGGTTCTCCGCCCTCCAGGTGTCATGGTTGTCCCATAGGAGGAGCTCTTTTTTTTCCCATGAGGCAACTGGACTTCCTGGTTTTCCCTTGAAGACGTTTCGCTTCTCATCCAAGAAGCTACTTCAGAGAAGCTTCTTGGATGAGCAGAATGTCTTCAAAGAAAAAACAAAGTCTAGTTGCCTCCTGAAAAAAGAGCTCCTTTGGGACAAAATTCCATGACTTTTTCCCAATTGTTTGTCCATAAATTCCAAAAGAAAAACTTACTCATTTTTAAAATCCTCTGAATCAGGGCTTGTACTCGAATCCAGAATTTTCTAGCTTTTTGGATGTCCACCAAACATTGGCCCTTCCTCTAAGGACACTGTGGCCCCTTCTCTCTTGTCCTATTTTCAGCGGCAGCTTCTGTGAAAGCAGCAGGTCCTCCCTCCCGGCTCCAAAAGAAATGCTGGTCACTTTGGAAAGCACAGGGAGGTTTCCTGCCTCACCCAGAAGTAGATGTTTGCAACGTGGGGAGGCCCGGTCCTTCTAGAGGGCCCCGCAAAGCACTTGGTGGGGTGTCTTTCCAACGGGCCACTGGGGCTTAGGGCTGGAAGGCAGAGTGGGTGCGTGCCTGTGTCTCCCTTTCTGCCTCTGCAGGCAGCTGATTGTGTTGCTGTTGCCTTGCAGGATGTGAATTTCCAGCTGCGACATGATATGGAGGAGCTGCAGGCAGCTGCCCGTGAAGGCCATGGGCTCTCCACCAGCCAGCTGGCTCTGCTGCAGCTGGTGCTGGCTCAGGGCCTTTATCCTCAGCTGGCTGTCCCTGACCCTTTCAACGAGACCCGCAAGGATTCGGAACAGGCAGGTGTCCCTGCAGTCTTTGCTAGCCACTCTGTCCTACTGAGGGCCAAAGGGGGCTGGAATCAGGCCCAGCGTTGCAGGGGGAAGGTTTTCCTAGACTTTCAAGAGGTTGATGGTCTCCTAATCGGTCCCCTGCCGTGACTCATCCCTGCTTGTTTATTTCTTGTTTTATTTATTGCTTCAATATATACAGCTGCCTATCTTCAATCCTGCAGATGATCTGGGTGGCTTTCAGCAGTTAAGCACAAAACAAAAGAAATTGCAATCTATAAACAATTAAAAGATCCGATGAAACCATTCTTGTGTGCTCTCCAGATCTTCCATACAAGAGAGAAAGCCGGCCTTGTCCTGCACCCGACCAGTGTGTTTGCTGATGCCCCAGAACTGCTGCATTCGGACTCCAAGGCTGGCAAGGACCCAGGTGAGGAGGAAGCCCATCAGCCCCAAGAGAACCTCAACTCCCAGCTGGCCTTAAGAGAGATCTTGGCCACCTGAGAGAGTCAAGAGCTTCTTTCTGGTTTTTGGTTTTTCCGGTATTCCTTGGAGGTTTTTTTGTACTGGAAATTATGGTTCCAGCCTAACTTGAAATGAAGTTGTGATGGTGTGGGAGGAAGAGGGAAAACCCAGGTTTCCATCCCAGGATTGTTTGGCAAAAGGACTAAATAATTTCACTGGGAAAAAACATGGGGTGGGGAAAATGATCCTTATCCATCTGAAGTTTCTGTTGCTGCTTATGTATAATTCTTACCAGATTTAATGGTCAGTTCCTCTTGAATGACAGTGTGGCTTCTTGAATTGGGTTGGCTGAGTGCTGCATCCTGAGCAGACTGAGAAAAGGAGGAAAAAGTCAACCAGATTTGAAATTAGGAAAACCTTAGATAACGTTTTTTAGAACTAACAACTCCTCCTGTCAACACAATTCGCAATTGACAACTCCTATTTCTATTATGGAAGATTCCTTCCACATCTTATTTGATTGCTTTTTATTCATGTCACAATTAAAATAAGGCATAGAGACCTTTGGGTCTGGCTTTCTTCTGCATCTGGAGGGCAGTTAGTAGTCCTGGGTCATATAAAGGTTGCACTGAAGCAGCCAAGAAGTGGACATTGCAAGAAGCTGCAAATGGGCTATCCTCCCTTTGTGGCTGGTTCAGCTGGAGGGCCATCAAGGGCGAGCTAGTCTGGCCCAAGACTTTTCCAGAGCTCAGGAAAGATGGGAAGAGGCTTTCAGAGGGGCCTGAGGGAGTGGCCTTCCTGCCCACAGATGCCAAGGAGAGGATGACCAGCCACCCCCAAATCCTGTCCTTCGTCTCACTGCTGGAGACCCACAAGCCCTACCTGGTAAACTGTCTCCGCCTGCCAGCACTGCAGGTAAGTGGGCTCTGGCAGGCTGTGTGTATCACTCTGCCCTTTGGTTCTCTCCTTCCTGAAACAGCTGCTCTCCTCCCCAGGTGTTGCTGCTTTTGGCTCGCTCTCTCGATACCAACGCTGACTGCACGCGCATAGTGGCTGACTCCTGGCTTGAGCTTCAAGTCCCCGTGGCAGAGACAGCCGTGCAGATGCTTGGCATTGCCCTGCGCCTCCGGGCCTCTTGGGACAAAGTGTTGGACAAGTGTCTGCAAAGATTGGCAGGCCCGTCTGGGGAGGAGGAAGAGACAGAGGCACCACTCAGCGCCCCAGAAGTGTGCCAACTCACACACGAACTGTTGGGCTTCCTGAAGACGGAGGTGCGTGGCTATGCCCTTGGGAGACAGGTGGAGGCTGGCCAAGCCTGGTAGGCTGCTCCCTGGAGAGGGGTTGTTGCCGTTGGGTTAAGGGGTAGAGGAGGAACCTCCCTGCTACTCAGGAGCAGGGGCTCGGCCTCTGCTGCTGGTCTGAGCACCTTTGGTTGTCCCTTTAGGCCCAGTACAGCCTCCGCCGAATGACCTCTCTGGAGCAGCAGCACCTCTATGGAGGCCCTCAGATGGCACCTGAGGAGGCTGAAAGGCTGCCCAGCTTCTTCCAGGGGGTGCAGCTGGTGCCCCACGAGGTGAAAGGTGGCTACAGGATTGGCGAGTTCCTGACATTTAATTGTCTGGCAGTGAGTGCAGGAACGGATGGGGTGAAGGAAGAACTCCTTGGTTTGACGATGTTTCTCCTTCCTGGCTGTGGGAGGGGGCAGCAGCCCACCCGCCCTGTAACTGCTGTCTCCTTACGCCCCCACAGGGGGAGGGAGATCTGTACAGTGACTGCCTGCGCAGCTTCTGGACGTGCCCACAATGTGGGCTCTACATGCCCTTCACTCCTCTGGAGCGTGTGGCCCATGAAGAGGCCTGCCGGTCTCCTGGCCCTCAGGAGGGCCCCCCTGGCTGCGAAGGCAAGTCCTTTTGTAGCTGCATCTTCAGCGGGGTCTCCTGGGATTTGGGAAGGAGACGGGTAGGGTCTCATCTTTGGAACACTGGGCTCCCTCTCATTGTGACTTTTCTGCTCCCCCAGGGCCCAGAGGGGGCGCAGCGGAGACTGCCTCTGGCACCTCTGCCCTGCAGCAACTCTACCACTGTGCCATCTGCCAGAACAGCCTGCACCTCACACCCACAGAAATCCTGAAGCATCGGAAGCAGCATCAGGGGTACTTGTGAAAGGGCCCTTGGGGGATTTTCACAGTTGGGTCACTCCCTGGAACTGGCCGTGGCTCGGAGGATGAGCCCAGAGGAAGGGGAGGCTGGCTGCTCCCCAACAAACATCATTTGGCCCAATCAAGGTGAATGAGTCTCTATGAGGCATGCCTGGAGTTGCTGTGAAAACTTTAAATTGATGTGGGCATATTGTAATTGTAATTGTCAGGCATTATTTATTTTATTGCAGTCATTAACCATCACATTTTTGACCATTCTGCTGAAATAAAATATGCTAATTTTAAGCTGGGGTTATGATATAATAATAATAATAATAATAATAATAATAATAATAATAATAATAATAATAATAATAAT